TTAGCGGTACAGTTCAGCATTACGGTTGAGCCAGGAGGGGCAATATACGACGATGGAGGCTTGACAACAAACACAGGCGGATCGATAACGTATACCACAACTGATCCTTCAGCAGAACCAAGAAGATTTTCAACTTTGCAAGCATATCTCCCCGAATCTTCTTTCTTCGCTTTAATTATAGTCATAACTCCATCTTTCAGAACAAAACGCGGATCCAGCAGGCTTTTCAACCCAGAATTCCACTGATTACCAATAACCTTAGACCACGTGACTTTTGGCTTAGGGAATCCAGTCGCGTGACACGTAGGTAGATTAATGTTATCACCAATCTTTTCGTAGATTGTTCGTGTGTTTAACGTCAGCCGTGGGCGGAAGTTCACTTGAAGTTTTGCCGTTGCTTTTGTGCTGCCGAGAAGATTAGACGCCTTACACTGATAGATTCCTGAGTCATTGGCAGTCACGTGTTTTATTTCAAGTTTTTCATTGCATCCAGCTTCTGCTTGTTTGTGTTGTAACGTAGCATTGTTTTTACTCCACACGACGGTGGGTCGAGGATAACCACTGGAACAACATTGGAATATGGCGGACTGGCTTTCATTGACGATGAGATGTGTTGGCGAAATGATTGCTGTTGGACGAACTGAGAATGGAACAGGATCTCCCTTTGGCCCTTTCGGTCCTTGTGGTCCAGGCATTCCTCTGGGACCAGGAAGCCCAATCTTTCCCGGAAAACCACGTGGTCCTTGCCGTCCAGTTTTACCCATAAGTCCTTGTGGACCGGGAGGTCCCCGTATCTTATGCTTGGCAGCCTGAATAGCTTTACTGACCTCTTGATGGATTTTCTTTGTTAATATATTAACCAGTAACATATCAGTGTTATTGACGCCAGTTGTAGCATCTCTTACTTTTCTTCTCAAAAGTTCTTCATTTTCCTTTACTTCTTGATTAGTAACGGTTTCCTTTGAATGGTGATCTTTCCCGTGTTGATCTATGTCGTGTTTTGAAGTCATCTTGTCTTGCACCTTCATGTCTCTTGAACACAGCTCGTTTAGCATCAATTCTGTTCGTATGAACACACCACAGCACAACAACAAAGTGACGATCGACAAAGCGATGGCAATCTTGGACACCAAGCAGGAATGGACGATTTTATCTGCCATCCTAGCAAATAGGACAACGCCAAAACGAACTGGAAGACGATTAAATTGACCCTATATGAGATATCTTTATTGGTAGTGCTCATTCGTATCTCAGCATGCAATATGCTCTCCGAGTATCGTATACTCTATGACGTCACTAGAGGTCAATATTTTATGTTATCCAGCTATATTCCTGCAGATTTTAATGACCACGATTCACGACAAGAGAGAAATATAGAGAATACTACTTGAGGCGCGCAGGGATTGAGTTTAAATCTTCGAGTCTTGAAAAAATCTCTCACGAGTAAGAGAATTGGAAGGTAGCGAACACGAGAAGATGAAATCCCAGATATTCTGAGTTGCTGCAAAACTTTGTAAAGCTTAATCCGGAAATCAGTAAAAAAAAAAACAGCTTTCGAATCCCACAAAAAATTTTAAATCCAAGAAAAAACATCCCGAATCTAAAAAGAAAACAACAAAACTTCTTTTGGAATTCGGAATCTCAAGGATTGGTGTTAGGAATCCAATGTTTCGGAATCCAGCGGTTCCCCTAGTTCTCTGGATTCTCTTATATGGGGCGAAAACTTGCCAAAGAAACAACAAAAGTCATACAAATCAAATTTTATGGATACACTGAAATTTAACTAATATATTGATTTACTAGTAGATTTTTACCAGCAGAACCCCGCGTTCATGCGTCTAGTTATAAGAGCAATCGATACAACAACAGTAACTCAGTTCAGAGTTGTCTTACAGTACTAGTCAATTATTAAAATGTACTCGTTCGCATTTTTATTTCAGAAATCTTAAAACTTTGTTTACTTCTATGAAAATGGTACCAAATGATTCCTTTCCAAGAATCGCGATTATTTCCAAGGTACTTCCCATTCAGATTAGAATAATGACATCCATTGTACCACCAGGCCCCGGTATCAACCAAAGCACAGTGCGTACTGTCTTTGTCGTTATCTCTATCTTTTGTACTAAACGCCATGTTTTTATGATATGTTAACGAGTCCCCAGCAGTACCTGAATACGAGCCAACCAACAGCTTGTACTTGTCTGATTCATCACCGATACTAAAACTACTATATTTGGCATACTTCCTAGTTCCGTCCCAGTCCTCTAACTCAACGCGCAGAMTCGAYGYTKTTCTTGCTGTCAGTCGATGGATGTAATCGTTACCCAACCAAAACTCGCCATTCAGGTTTCCAAAACCTGTTTTGTATTGCTGCCAATTGCGATAGAAATCAACCGATCCATCTTGTCTTCKYTGKAWCACAGTCCAMCCCCCRCCGTCAGTTGTCATGTCACAGTAGACTTGAAATGCAGGCTGCTTGTCTGGTTTAACTGTGTAAACACCGTTACGTCTCTCTCCTGATTTGTAAAGATCTGTGCAATCCTTTGCATGGTATACAGTCAGCGTTGTTCTAGATTCTGTATCAAACACACCAGCACTCGTAGCAATGCACACAAACACACCCGAATCTGCTTTCTTGACGTTCTTTACAATCAAAGAGCCATCTCTCACTTCATATCTACCAACAGGAAGAACACCGTTGTCTTTTCTCCAACTAATGACAGGCTGAGGGTCACCTTTAGCGGTGCAGTTCAACACTAAAGTTTTCTCTGAAAGAATTGTATACGACGTGGGTGGCTTGACAACAAACACAGGCAGATCGATAACATTTACCATAATAGATCCTACAGAAGAACCAAGACGATTTTCAGCTTTGCAAACATATGTCCCCGAATCTTCTTTCTTCGCTTTAATTATAGTTATAATTCCATCTCTCAGAACAAAACGCGGACTCAGCAGGCTTTTCAACCCGCCAAAAATCCACTGATTACCAATAACCTTCGACCACGTGACTTTTGGCTTAGGGAATCCAGTCACGTGACACGTAGGTAGACGAATGTTATCACCAATCTTTTTGTATATTGATTGTTTGTTTAAGGTCAGCCGTGGGCGGAAGTTCACTTGAAGTTTTGCAGTTGTTTCTGAGCTGCCAAGAAGATTAGAAGCCTTACACTGATAGATTCCTGAGTCATTGGAAGTCACGTGTTTGATGTGAAGTTTACCAGTGCTATCAACTACTGCTCGTGTGTGTAGTAACGAATCGTTGTTTTTACTCCAGACAACATCAGGTCGAGGATAACCACTAGACGAACAATGTAAGATGGCGGACTGGYTTTCATTGACGATGAGATGTGTTGGTGAAATGAGTACTGTTGGACGTGCTAAGGAAGGACCACGATCTCCCTTTGGTCCCTTTGGTCCCTTTGGTCCTGTTATTCCTCTTGGACCAGGAAGTCCAATTTTTCCAGGAAAACCACGTGGTCCTCGTTTTCCTCGACGTCCAGTTTTTCCAGTGAATCCTCTCGGTCCTCTAGGACCGGTTTTCCCCGGTGGGCCGGGGGGTCCTGCTATTAGAATCTTATAACTGTTAGTGTGAAGTGTTTTTCGGACCTCTTGACGCATTTTCTGGGATAATATACGAGTAAGCAGTTTTATAGTGTTATTGTTTGCTGTTGTGACATCTCTTGCATTTCTTCTTAGAATCTCTTGATTTTGTTTTGCTTCTTGTTTCTCTAATGTTCGTTTTGAACGATGATCTTTGTCGAGACGATCCATGCCATTGTTTATGTGGTGTTTTGAAGTCATCTTGTCTGGCAGCTTGATGTCTCTTGAATACAGCTCGTTTAGCATTAATTCTGTTCGTAAAAACACACCACAGCATAACAACAAACTGACSACCGATAGASYGATRGCAATCTTGGACAACAAGCACGAATGAACGATTTTATCTGCCATTTTGACAAATAAAGCAGCATCAAAGCGAACAGGAATATTGACGCAGTGGAAATGAACCGATATCATAACACCACGTGAGTTTATTCATGTCTGAGCTTGACGTTATATGGTGACCTTATGGCGTTATTTGATATTTACAGATGTTCATATAACTTAACTATACGATTCGTACTAATGGTGTGGTATCCTTCATACAAATTGCCTATGACACCATAACGCGCTTGTGGAAGTTAAGGGGAATTCCCGTTTATTTCATAGTCTTCGAGTTCGAGTCGCAGACTTGGAGTTGGATTTCGAGTTGGGATTCGAGTTTAATATAATGTAGATATTACGTATTAGATGTAGAATAGTGCTAAATTGAGTACAAAAATAATCTATTATAATGATTTTTTTTTCTAAATCCCCTGGCAGAGTTCAGGGTTTATAGCCTTGTAACACAATTTAATGGTAAATAGTTGAAATTGGAAGTGGAAAAATAAAAAACTATGGATTTGCTATTAAAGATTTAATTGTATACAAAGGTAGATAAAATGCTTGACATACAATCGTTGCCAAAAACCTTGGACCATAATTTTAAACTTAGCTGTTTTTAGCATTACCATATAAGAAATGCATCCCCCTTGACCCCCTAAAGGCAATGTTGTGTGGAAATGGTTKCAATGTGATCKTTTTGCGACTGTCCAAACGACACAAGCATCCAAGGTCACTAGCAACATTGCTCCAGGGGGGTATGGGGAGATAAGTTCTGAGATACACGAAGATAATTATAGATATTGTGCAAAAAGAGCGCTACGGTCCAAGGTATTTTGTCCACGATTGTAGCCCGACTTCACGCTCTAAGAGCGTCTATTTTTCATTGTTTTTGCCTTATTGATTATTAATGAATTTGATAAAGGGTACTAAAGCACAAATGTATGCAAAATTCTCATTCACATTTTTTTCTAGGAAAGACACATCTGTTCTCAATCTTGTCGATCTGTTGATGGTCTCGGCAATGGGACCACCAGGCGGAGGAAGAAACGAGATAACACCAAGATTTTTGTGTCACTTCAACGTCATTTCAATCGATTCGTTCAGTGTCAACACCATGAAAAACATCTTTTCGATCATTATGGATTGGCACTTTAATAATCGTGGATTTGAAAACCAACTGCGGAGATACTCNCACCACGAAGAAAAACCTCACCTGTACTTTTTCCTGTTCGTGTACGTTTACGCGAAGGTTCAAGGGATTTAAGCGTGTCTTCTACTCTAAAATGTATAAAAACGTTTACAAAAGTGAGCTATGCGTACATACCATGCTCAGAGGATCATTTCACCATGAACTACGTACGAGCACAACTTACCGTTCGCGTCTCTGCATTTCAAGCGAAAGTAGATGGCTCGCAAAACTTGAATCATTTTCGAAAGTTCCTCCGGCTTTAATTTCTTTCCAACTATTATGTATTCTTGTCGAAAGCCAGATTCGACTGTGTTTGGAGCGCCAAATGTCTCGATTTAACTTTCTAATGTCAATGGCCGCCTGAGAAGTTCCGGCCTTTGGTCTTCCCCGTCGCTTCTCCATACAATAAAACTCCAAATAAATTCAATAGAGCAAAAATAGGTTCTCCAAATGGATAATTGATTATCAGTTAATGAAAAAAATAAGAAAAGAACGTTCGATGGTTTGTTTTTTAAAGGATTTTTCGAGATATGAACAACGATGATAATTCTCCCCGTCTCAAAGACTTTTGAATGGCCCGGACCACAAATTCCACGTGACATGCGCAGAAGCGTGAAACAGCCCCTTTAACCATTGAAATTTAATAAACGCCCCCGGCGTTTATTAGATCATTTACGGTATTGATTTACTAGTAGATTTTTACAAGCAGAAACCCGTGTTCATGCGTCTAGTTATAAGGGCAATCGATAACAACAGTAACTCAGTTCAGAGGCCCATTTGCACTTGCAATTTTTGCAGCGCGATTGTCGCGCGACAGTCGCCTTAGTTTCGAACATGCTTGAAATTTAGCTGCAACTTAATGACAAATAGTTCACATTGGAAGTGGAACAACAAAGAACTATGGATAACGGTGTTTATTACGTGACCTTTTAGGTCAAACTCTCGGAATTTTGAATATTTGAACTATCGTTTGCATCTTTGGAACTATATTTTGGTCTATCGTTTTGACATCGTTGCAGAAAGCCGTCAAAAAATAATACCGTAGCGTGTGAATAAACAATTATAATTTTGAACAGTGTATTAGAAGTAAAAAAGTATATCCTACGACATAATTTACATTCATATATAATATATGATAGGCAGAATATTACATCATAGTCTTATCGCGTTTAAAACCTTTCAATCGTTCTCCTATATGCGCACCCATGTAATATCCTGTCTTTCTCAATTTTCAAAAATAGCTAGCCCGACTTCACGCTCTAAGAGCGTCTATTTTTCATTGTGTTTGCCTTATTTTATTGATTATTAATGAATTTGATAAAGGGTACTAAAGCACAAATGTATGCAAAAATCTCATTCACATTTTTTTTTCTAGGAAAGACACATCTGTTCTCAATCTTGTCGATCTGTTAATGGTCTCGGCCATGGGACCGCCAGGCGGAGGAAGAAACGAAATAACACCAAGATTTTTGTGCCACTTCAACGTCATTTCAATCGATTCGTTCAGTGTCAACACCATGAAAAACATCTTTTCGATCATTATGGATTGGCACTTTAATAATCGTGGATTTGAAAACCAACTGCGGAGATACTCAAAGGTACTTTATTGTAACTCCATTTTAAAATAATCGATCCGGTCATGACGTCATACGATGTTCGGCGCAATGCACCATGGTATTAAAGTTTAAACTAAAGCATGTTTCATGCTGTTTTATGAAGAAGAAGAAGAAGTATCATTTAATTCTCAGAGAGGTCCTTGAGTGTAATCTAGTATTAAGCAATCTTATTCTCACTGTTTTCCTAAAGGATTATTGACAAAKTAAGTTAGTTTTGCAAAGAAACTTCGTTCTTCATAGTTTTTTTATAAGACGTCCGCCATCTTGGTACTTTTATCAATACCATGATGCACTTCGCTAAACAAATGACGTCATTAGTGGAAAGAGGCATTCTACTCATTTTGGAATAGCTGAGTGTTAATTTTGAAATAAGTCAATCAATTTTAAAATTATTATTGCCTGATTGCATTCCACAAAGCAAGTAGAGTGAGGTGTCCCGATAGCAACTTGGTTTTTTTGGGTCTTGTGTCCTGTTGAGTAGGAGAACAATAGCAAGAAACCAGACCATTAAACAGAGCTGATATAAACAATCGTTGTTTTAAATTGCTCTTGTAGATTATGATAAGTGCCACTATAGAAGTGTATAACCAGGCCATAAGGAACTTCCTACCCACTCCATCCAAGTCTCACTACGTTTTTAACCTCAGGGATTTCTCAAGAGTTGTACAGGTAATTGTATCTTTGAAAAATATCGAGAACCACTTAGCTTTGTTGGTAGGTCACCCGACTATTGCGCGGCGGATTCTGGGTTAAGGCAGGAACAATACTCAGGTTCTTCAAATAATAGGCCAGGCCTTTTGCATGAAACGGTCACATGGTACTAAATCCGACATACTGGATGGCAAAATACCCACTGGGACTTCCAAAACAAAGAAAAGTCAAGTTTGACGGGCTACGTTCCTTTKAGGTTGTTWACATTCTTTTGCCATCAAGTATGACGGATTTAGTACCATGTGACTGTTTCATGCAAAAGGCCTATTAAGATATTAGACAGTTTTAGATTCACGTTTACTGCAARCGCCTGAAAATGGTTAGGGAATCACGTCCTCCCATAAGGACCTTAAACCGGAGGTCATGTCTTATCAAACTTTTGTCTATATATAGGCAAAAGTGTAATAAGGCAGGACCTACGGTTTAAAACAGCATTGGAYAGACGAAAAAGAACCACYGAAGACGTAATCAACCCTGGCCGTTACAAACCACAGAAACAGGATCACTATGGAAATCTCTCTGTCTTCGTTTGAATTGAAAACMTGGTTCTGTTTGTCATTGGTGAAATGGTCAAATAAAAAAAAACATAAGAGAAAACTTGAAATTCATTCACTATAAAGTGTATACAAATCTGAACAAGAATAAAAGCAACGWCCAGAGCATTCTGGTAGAGGATGAAACGAAATCAKTAAAATACCTGCTTCAGGCTCTTTACCAATGTAGTTTTTTTTTTTCAGGGTATTCTGTTATTTCCTGGTCAGTGTGCTACTGATAGTGGTAAAGTKATAMGKCTMTGGGTCCACGAGGTGTACCGAGTGTTTTACGACAGACTTGTTGACATCCACGATAGAGAGTGCTTCTTTGACATTGTGAAGGTTCGTACTAGTACGCACTCTCGCTATAACGGGCATCTTCCGACCATAATCGACCATTTTCGATATTCTAGTTGAATAATCATGTACAAAAGAATTGAAGACGAGGCTCTGGGGAGACAAAGAATTGTCCATTGTTTCACCTGAGCCTCGTCCTCAACTCTTGGCCGTGGTAAGTCAACCAAAATATCGAATGTGGTTATTATCAAGTGTTTATCGAGCTTCCACTTCTATAACCTTCTATAACGGACACCTCGAAAACGTTCACCAATATCGAGTACAATTTCTATTAAGTCAAACAATTAATCAAGATATTTTCTTTTCACAAATGACGTATGCGATGTTCAGTGAAATATAGTATGGGATTGGTGTGCCAGGCTGATTTACGAGCAACAAGCATTATATATATATTTCTGTAACTGGTCTTTGAGTCAGCCTGCTCTTCAGCCCTCTTGTTAAATCTTCTTCTATAGTATCCTCTCAACAATGGGTAAAGTAATTTTCTCAAAAAAACTTTGCCCTCGTAAGTTCTTTTTCAACGTCAGCCATCTTGAAAGTTTTATCAATACCGTAATGCACTTCGCCAAAGTAAACATGACGTCATTAAATGGACCATTATCGACAAGTATGAACGCAATTCAATAAGCATTCACTATTTGGTTTATAGAATGTTMTTGCAAATGAGTTCAAGGAGAAAATTGGTCATGTTTTCAATCATCTTGTTGGTGCTGGTTGYCAAGTAACAGAAAACACTATGAGAAGGTAAGTCTGTCATTATCAGTAACCGTTTTTAGCCTCTCTTCATTCATCCGTTTCTTGATCCATTGCTCTCTCAAAGTGCTTTTGTTCTTTTTGTTGTGCATAATTTGTGGTTATACTCTAATAAATTCTTCAATCCATTATTGCCTTGCTTGTTTCCTCCCTCAYTCCCTCTATCTCTTCCTCCCTTCTCCCTTCCTTCATCTTAGAAGTTTTTTCATTCACTTTTTCTTTTGTCCTTACAATCATTTATTCTTTCATTCTGCTCTTAATTTTGCATCCATTTATTCCCGTCTGTTCTCCCATTTGTTCATTCATTCATTCGTCCTTTCATCTTTTCCTATAATCTTCTATTTTTTATCGCCTTTCTTTCTCTAGTTTGTTCTTTGGCGACTTTCTGGATCGCAAAGCRAATCCCAAGTTGTATAACGAGATCCAAGACCTTGAAGATCTCAGCCAGGTGCATCAAATTAACTCGACCAAGTATTTATTAACACTAGATACGAGCAAGTTTAGATTACATGACATTATGTAATCAACAAACTAAGATTTTGTCGTATAAAGCTAAATACAAATTCATGCTCATATATTGKTTAATGTTATGTAGGCGATGGAGGTTTACTTGGAGGATTATAACATTTCCTGTAAAACCCCCATGGATCTCGTRATGTTCAAGTTCGCCATTGAACACGTGTCTAGAATCTGCCGCGTGTTAAGACAGCCAAATGGACACGCACTCCTAGTCGGTTAGCATATTATCATTAACAATTAGACCTCGAGATCGAGTGGACTATACAAGCTAATAGCCCATGAGGCCGAGTCCGCGAGGCCGAATGGGCTATTAGCTCGTAGTCCACGAGGCCGAGAGGTCTAATTGTTTCAGTATAAACATACTAATCGGTCAAATAATGAAAACAAATTGAAATATCCTTAAAATAATTTATAATTTATTTATTTTGATTTTCACGAGAGTGGTCTATCACAAATTAGACCATTAGTAGAGTAGCCAATCACAGCGCAGTATGAGTGATAGACCATTAGTATGTTTATACTTAATATATTTAGACTGCGTTGCGGCTCTAGGGGAGTTGTGAAGGGGGCTCTATTTTTCCCCCATCATTCCCCGACCTACCTCCCCTTCTGTTCACAAAGGCTACAATATATTTGTAATCATAAACGGTTTGAAAATGGTAACATTTGTTTGTATCTAGCGACGATGTCTTGAATTAATTCATACATTATGTTTGTCTTTGTTGTTGTTGTTGCTGCTACTTCGGTTGTGTTTTTTGTTGTCACTGTCGCTGATGCCGCTGCTATTCATTGGATGGTAATCTGWTTTGTTAAATTGTTTTAGGAATCGGTGGTTCAGGACGCGCAAGTGCAACCAAGCTAGCCGCTTTCATGTCCGATTACGAGCTTTTCCAAATTGAAATCACTAAAAACTAYACGTTTGTGGAGTGGCGCGAAGATGTCAAGAAGATGTTRCGTAAGGCTGGTGATCAGGGCGTGTCTACTGTGTTTTTGTTTGGCGACCATCAAATTAAGGTAAAGGTACATTTAGGATGAAACCTGGACTTTGACATGTACGCACGCGTGAASTAGAATTAGAAGCAARTYGATAGTAGAGATGAACATGCCAAAGAGCAGCTGGAACTASAACTTCGGTAATAGAGGATGAAGATATTTATTTTTCAATTATTCTTTTGATGTTTTAGGACGAGGCTTTCCTGGAAGACTTGAACATGATTCTCAACACTGGTGATGTCCCGAATATTTACGAACACGACGAAAAGGCTGAAATCATTGAAAAAGTAAGTCAGTGATGATGATGATTATGATTATCATTAATTATTATTGATTATTTTTATTGATTATTACTAATTATTAGTAATTATTGGTTGTTATTGATGATTGATGATTATTAGTTTTTATTATTTACTACTATTATTTGGTCATTAGATGCAGTCTATTGTCCAAGAACGTAATCTTAAAGTAGATTCCAGTCCACTTGCGATGTATAATTTTTTCATTGAGAGAGTTCGACGTAATCTCCACGTSGTTCTTGCAATGAGTCCAATCGGTGACGCTTTCAGAAACCGTCTTCGTATGTTTCCTTCGCTGATTAACTGCTGTACTATCGACTGGTTCCAGGTTGGTTTTCGTTCATTTATTCCTTGTCTTGAGAATCATGCATGCGTTCATCCATTCATTTATTCATCTATTTTTCTTATTTCTCATTTACACTGATTCTTTCGGAAATCGTTTTGTTTGCTCACTCGTTCGGTTATGCATTCACTTGTGTATCGCAGGCTTGGCCAGACGATGCGCTCGAGATGGTGGCCAACAAGTTCCTGGACGAGGTAGAGATGTCACCACAAGTTCGCAAAGAATGCGTATCAATGTGTAAACATTTCCATCAGAGTGTCCGATGCGAATCAGAAAGGTAGGAACATTATTTTAAAAAAGAAAAGATGCCAGCAATTTAAGTATACTCATCCAATTTCTTTCCCAGATACTACAATATCTTGCGACGTCATAACTACGTCACGCCTACGTCATACCTGGAGCTGATACGTACTTTCAAGTCCCTGCTYGAAAAGAAACGACTTCAAATCATGACCATGAAGAGTAGATATCTCAAAGGACTTCAAAAGCTTGACTTTGCTTCGTCTCAAGTCGCTATTATGCAAGAAGAGTTAACGGAGCTGCAACCTGAGCTGATACAAACTAGCAAAGAAACTGAAGAACTTATTAAGATTATTGCTGAAGAGACGTCTGAGGTCGAAGACAAGAAAAGGGTTAGACGGAGTAGTAAATTTATCATTTTTATTATATCAGTACACAAMAAAAWTTTTATTATATCAGTACACAAAAAATATTTTTTTTGTTACACAAAAATATACGTACTTTTTTTTGTATTGTTGGATGAGCAAGAGGCTACTCCGGCTTTATTATTCGCTGTGCGTTGCGTTACATCCGAAAAAGCGCGGGAATTTCGTAGACGCGCGCCGCGTACGCGTTTTCGTATAAKCGAGTTTACCGCCTCTTGAAATATAACCAAATTTTTTCTTTTCACAAATGTAAGAACARAAAAGATACAATCTAATTATTTAATTTACTTATGGTTTAAAGATTGTGGAAGCAGACGAAGCCGTGGCTAACGAAGCTGCCAAAGAATCGCAAGCAATCAAGGTACGTTTGAACGACGGCTGTTGTTTGTACGAAAAGTTAGTGTTACACATATRGWATACATRCTGGGACGTTTTGGACGTTAGGYCTTACTATYMAACAGACAAARCAATCGTTATGCWTTTAAAYTCAAGTTTTCTTGAACGTTTTTATCTCTGTTTGTATTTTAGGATGAGTGCGAGGAGCAGTTAGCCGTAGCCATGCCCGCTATGAAGGCAGCCATTGCAGCATTAGACACACTAAAACAGCAAGATATAACATTGGTTAAGTCTATGACCAACCCACCTGCTGGTGTTCGACTTGTCATGGAGGCTGTTTGTATCCTTAAGGTTTGTTATGCTGCTTCACTTGGAATCTCACCTTACAGACACCCGCTTAACACGGACACTCTCTTACAACGACCAGATTTTTATGTCACGACGAATTAAAACGTTTTTCTGCCCTGATAAAACGACACCTTCCGCGATCGGTGTCCATTTGTTTCCAGATTAACAAGGTTCCACTGTACTTACGCTAAATAACAATATGCAGTCAACTCTCGTTATAACAACCCGCCCGGCAATAGCAATTGTCCGCTTTAACTTGAGTTCGTTTCTGTAATTTCTTTAAAGCAGGGTCACTTATGTATCCGTAATAAAGGTCTGTCCATAATTAGTGTAGGGGTGTCTGCAAGCCGAGAGTTGACTGAAAGCGCAGCCAACATAGTTGACGTTTGCTTATAGCCGAATCTTAAGTAAGAAATGAAATGCTTGATGAAAACTAGGAATTGGGCACCCCCCACCCCCCCAAAAAAAGTGACGTCTCACTCAAGATGGCGTAGTATTTGTCTCCAAAATTCTTGTTCATGAAGTAWTTTCTTTGTTATCGAAGGGTGTGAAGGCTGAAAAGAAAATGGTCGATGGGAAACAAACTGAAGATTACTGGGCTTCGTCAAAAAAGGTAGAAAAAAATATCCAACTCTTACCAAAGCATTTTATTCCAACCATCTGTTGATGGGTATACTCAGAGGAAGCAATTTTTCGCTGGACGGCGCAATTTATTTTATACTCGTACAAGAACATTTCTAGATAAACGTCGAGTAATGTGAAGCCTCGTTCACACATGTGTTTGCGTTCTGTTTGTGCGTTTTTGTTGCGTAACTGCGTTGTCCGGCTAAGAACAACATTAAGCACTACATATACGCTCAGTTTTAACTGGATGTAACGCGTCTTTTTAGCGTTTTTGTCTTTTATAGCGTAAGTAGATTGTTTCTTGACGAAGGAAGATCTAATACAAAACGTGTTTATTCATGCGTTATCGTTGCGTACTTGCATTATTATCCCTCCTCGTTATAACGCCACGTAAACGCTTAGTTTAAGCTCGTCTTCCTATCGATTTTTCTTTGGAACAGTACTAATACGTAGCGAAGGGACAATAGTGTATGACGCGTAATTTAGCGCTTGATAGGCGTAAATGCGTCTTTTCTAGCGTAAGGAGATTGCATTTTTTTTAATTAGAAATTGAAGATCGACGTACCACAGAACGTATTACGGGCTCTTACGAAAAGCGACTAAAAGCACTTCTATACATTAATATGGATTTTTTTCTTTTTTCAGCTTCTCGGTGACATCAAGTTCCTTGAGAACCTGAAAATCTACGATAAAGATAACATTCCTCTCGCTACGATGAGAAAGATACGTGACAAGTAYGTCAGTAACCCTGATTTCCACCCGTCTCTCATCAAGAACGTTTCCTCTGCTTGTGAGGGGCTGTGTAGCTGGGTGAGAGCTATCGAGGTCTACGACAGGGTAGCCAAGGTAAAACGACAATTTCAGAATAAAGTTTGAAATCCCTCGTATAAGAACCCGAGCATATCAGAGTAAAATTTCCACATCAAGTTAAGAAACACTTCGTGCTGAAACCTCAATGATGAAATGAATTTCTCTCAGTCTTATACGATTCATGTTAATAAAATTGGATATAACATGTAAGACCACACCCATTAATGCCAGGCTTCTTTCCCTCTGAGCCTATTWATCAAAATTAGAGAGACTCTCTATGCTGAAATTGAAAAATCGAGTATTTGATTTAAATTGCCGTTAATTCACACGTCTTTATTTCTTCCCAAAGCTCGTTGCTCCTAAAAGGAAGCGGCTTTTGGAAGCTGAAGCTGTTCTTGAAAAGCAAATGGAGAATTTAAACGAGAAGAGAGCCAACTTGACTGCTGTCATGGAGAAGTTGATGAACCTTAACGATGACTACAAGGCCAAGATCAACAAAAARAGAGTACGTTACACAATCCTTGTTCATATTCCATTCTTCATTATATACCAGTGATATTAGAAATGTTTAGAATAAATATATGAAGAAACTAATATAGCGCCATAAAACACACTGCACTCTTTTCTCATACCGAAAATACGATTTTGGATTTTAATATCTTTTCTTGTCCATTATCCAGGAATTAGAGAGAAAYATTGAACTTTGCTCTAAGAAACTCCTGCGAGCCGARAAGCTGTTGAGYGGTCTTGGTGGTGAGAGGACAAGATGGACACAGGTAGCCCAAGAGCTAGAAGAGACATATACAAACATTGTCGGTGATGTTTTGTTATCGGGTGGTGTGGTTGCATACCTTGGGTCTTTCACAGTAGACTTTAGGATGGTAAGTTTCTTACTGGTTGATAATCGATTTCCCATGATCCTGTTCGTTGCGTGTCGCGCGGGATTCCTGTGTTATTTCTTTAATGGCTTTCGTCAGATACCATATCAGCTCGTATCTCTAATGTTCAGTGCCATAAATCCCTTAAACAAATATTTGCCGCTATTTCAAAATGGATTGAAATATGTATTAAACTTTTTTAGCCAAAAAATTATTTCTCGCTTCGATGACTCAGTCACCTTTCAAATGGCAGCGAAAATTGTAAAATAAATTATTATGATTAAGATTTTTCACGTCGTTCTCACTTGTTTATGACTTGTTAACTTGCTTCCAGGATGTCATCAAGGAATGGTGGACGTTGTGCAGAGAGAAGGGGATCCCTGTGTCGGACAATTTTTCCCTTTCAKCTACTCTTGGTGACCCTCTGGTGACGAGATCCTGGCATATTTCTGGGCTCCCTGTGGATAAGTAAGAWATCGAGAATGACATTTTTACATCAAAACTTTTTCCATAATAATACTAGTGTGCAGTCTTCTACATGTTGTTATGTTAAAGCAGTCTTATCTTGGAGACAAAGCAAAATCCATTTTCTGTTCATTGTCCTGTAAGCTTTTTTGTTGATTCATTTGTCTTCCCATGCGCCCTTTCGGTTATATATGGAATTGGTGTATATGGAAATGCAAGTGAAAAGTATATTAAACATTTCCCTACTGTTTCTAGTTTTTCTATCGACAATGCCATYATTGTTTCAAACACATACCGCTGGCCACTGATGATCGACCCACAAGGCCAGGCTAATAARTGGATCAAAAACATGGAGAAACCTAACAAACTGCAAGTGATTAAACTCTCAGACGCGAACTACGTACGAACGCTAGAGAATAGTATTCAGGTAGGCCTGGCTTACGTCGAGATCGAACTATACATTAGCAATATTAGATAGCTTCAGTGAACAAGAACAAAGCATTTTCGTACCCAGACTCTTCTCAGCTTCCCTATGGATAATCAAAGGCTCTGGTGCTTTGATTATTCCGTTAGGAAGGTAAGAGGAGTCTGGTTTTAAGAATGGAGAGCAAAAGTGTCAAGGTGAACCCAGATACTCGGTGTTCCCCGATGCTTCTGGTCAATGTTTTGTTCGTAGTGATGAAAATTATATTTCGTTGTAGTTTGGGAACCCTGTGTTACTAGAGAATGTCGGCGAGGAACTGGATCCGATGCTTGAACCGTTGCTTCTTCGACAGACGTTTAAACAGGTATAATCAGCATTGTTGAGTTCTCGCATTCTTTGCTTTTTCTTGAATCAAGTTCGATTGAGTAGAGAAATTGTTGTGTTTCCATTTCTTTTAACCAGTTCTTTTTTTTTTCCATTAGTGCAATTTCTATTTTATCTATCAGTGTCTTTTGTTTGTTTTTGAGTTTAGTATACTGAAACTTTGAATAGATTTTGTTAGAGTAAATCTATGTTTGACTAAATATGGTGGGACACTTTTCCCAAGAGTTTCTTCCACAAMTCAAGACATCGCATATGTTAATGTTATGTATATGCTTTTTCATGCTTCAGGGTGGACTGGAGTATCTTCGTATGGGCGATCATGTTGTCGAATTTAGCAAGGTAAATAAAACAAATTCAGCTTTTCCCTGGATTTCGAAGGCCAAATCTCACATGTACCRAGGTCGGTTTATTAAACTGTGTGATATTATTGTTCTGTTCATTTCAGGACTTTCGTTTCTACATTACAACTCGGTTACGCAATCCCCACTATCTACCCGAAGTCTCCATCAAAGTAACGCTATTAAACTTCATGATAACCCCACTGGGGCTTGAGGATCAGCTCCTTGGCATCGTTGCTGCAAAAGAAAAACCTGAGCTTGAAGAGAAAAAGAATGAACTTATCCTGGAGAGCGCAAAGAACAAGAAACAGGTATGGACTGAACACTCTCCAGAGGATCAAGACGCACTTGCATCCATGAACCTTTGCGGTCGTTTGTTTTTGTTTTACAAATGATCTCTTGTTAAAAGTTGCTATCTGATTGGCTTAAAATCAAAGATAGAGATTTTCCTTATGTGATTTCACTCCTAAACGTTGGTTTCTTCGTTTCAGCTAAAAGACATCGAAGACAAGATCCTAGAAGTCTTGTCAACAAGTGAAGGAAACATTTTAGAAGATGAAACGGCTATAGAGGTTTGTTGTAATAATATCATAAATAAAAAAAACTATTTGCCGTTCGAGATTTGTCTTCGTCTGAATAATATTGTTCGTCGTTAGAGCGATTTTCCGGCAAAACGGCAAAGTGTAATTCTACTKATGCATCGAAAAGACAAAGGCAAATGTGCAAAAATGTAGCGGATTTCGTTKGTACTAGCTGTACAAAAAGGAAAAAAAAAACAAGACGAGGTTCCGTGTCCGTTCCGTGATCTCTGAACAGTCTCTGCTTTAAAGAGTGATAAAAGAAAGTGTAGTACTATACAAMTATCGAACAACTATAACTCTACCTACCTCTGCGCAAATAACTCCGACAAACCATTAAGTTATTTAAACCCGAGTAGACAGAGAAGAATGAGAAATTTCCCATCCAACTTATTGTTTTGTTATATTCCCCGACATCCCATAGGATASTTACCAAACTCTTTTCGTCTTTCAGGTTTTGTCTTCAAGTAAAAAGTTATCAGAGGAAATCTCTGAAAAGCAGGAAATTGCATCGAAAACAGAAATGGAAATCGATGAGACTCGWGGCGGYTACAAACCAGTAAGTAGATGTGTGACATGATTGAAAATGGACTAATGCACTATGGGTATTCTATATTAATGGATTTTCTAAGAAAAAAAATGCAGGCAAACCAAAAAAAAAGACTTGGTGGTTTGGCATTTAATGAGATCGTTAGTGAATGAATCTGACGGATGAATATTATTATCGATCACCTATAGTAACTTTCGGTTGTGCATTGGTCATATAAATAATAAAAATGTCTCTAATAAAAATGTGTTTAAAAAAAGTTGTATATAGTATATAGTACAATCAATTAAGTACACGTTGTTTCATAGGTCGCCAAGCATTCTTCTATATTGTTTTTCACAATCTCGTCGATGGCCAATATTGAACCGATGTACCAGTAYTCGCTGACTTGGTTTATAAACCTTTACTTGCAGGTACGACATGAATTTAAAATGGAAAAAATAAACAAATGGGAAATTAAAAAAAATAGGATGGGTGGAAAACGAGAAATCTTGAAAGTCTCGATGGAAATATAGTGCTAAGGCTCGAAGTTAGATTGAAAAAGTATGACTAATTGATAAGTGAAGGAAAAATTAAAAATGAATTAATGATATAAGTWCTCAGGATATTATACCCTTATATCTTCAACACACCACAAACGAARCCGGTTAACGTCCTGGGAATGAGGGGAATATAAGAAAACGAAAGGGAAAAAAGGAAAGATTAAAGTGGAAAATAACTGAATGAATGGATGGGCGATATGAAAATAGTGAAAGATGAAAAATGAATAGTAAAT